AATCCCCTAGATCATTAAATCCCCTTGATCGTTAATAAGGCACTTTCGACAATAATAATTCTCATCTTTCAGGTTGGGAAAGTAGGATATATAAAAGTTAGGCAAGCCAAGGTTAGTTTAGTTCATTGTACTAGTATTTTACCTGATGAAGCAACTGTGGCAGCGAAACATGTCTTTGGATTCAAGAATTTTGTGGATATCTCATCGTTTGTAAAGTTTTCAGATTTGATATGGATTTCAATCAAGTATAATGACCAAGTCAATTGAAAACTTTCAGTTTCACTAATTTTTTCCTGCCATTTTCAAATTTGTGAATGATATTTTGAAATATTGATATAAATGGTGTTATTTTGACTTGAAACACACCTATTCATTTCTTCTGGAATCGATTCTTCTCATTATGACAATCATCAACACTGTGGACAGAGTACATACAAACCAGATATCAAATGTATGTTTCATCCTCTATCTGGATTATAAAGAAAGATAAACATATGAAATACAGATTATTCAGGAGCACCTTGGTGTCCTTTATATATTCTCACTGTATGCGCATTTCCCAATGAATCACCCCGTAGGGATTCTCGAATGAAAGACAGCACCTGTTTGTAGGGAGCTTCAAATGATCAACATTTCCACAAGTTATTGTTATTGTGTAAATGCCAAATTTTCTTTGTATTATTGTATATGGAGTGCGCCACAAGTAGCTGTATCGTGGTGAGCTGTATCTGGTGTAATTTCATAACTATTATAGTACAATAGAGGTAATGTTCATACTGCATATAGGTAAGTGGTCTTGGAAGTAAGAGAACTGTCTGATCATCGAAGATAATACTATCTGCCTAGACACGAACTGATCTACCAAAACCATATAACATTCGTACACAAATTAGTACGGATGAAAGATGAAAATGATGGAAAACTTTTTACATACAATGACGACTGACATACCCAAAAATTTATCTTCAGACGATATATATATATATACACTTTTATACACCTCTAATCGTAAAATTGGCAGATATCAAGAAACACTTACATACATTGGACGAGATTTTTGAGATTTTCAGATTAAAATCAGGAGATGGAGATGAAAATTCATGCATGAAAAATAAACTAGTTTCCTTGCATCCTAATTCACGCAGAAACAATTGCAGTTCCTCTTAAAGAGCTAGGGAATATTATTATTCACTCTCCTTAGTTAGATTTTCAACTTTCAGTAACTTCATGAAGAGATTGAAGCTTGACTTTGCAGCCAGGTTGGCCTCATTTATACTGAAAAAGTTCATTCGATTCTCAAGATAATGTATTTTTATTCGATTCTTTCTCTCTGTCGTATGCTTATAATGAATAGGTGTTTCTTCGAGAAATAACACATCTACATTGATTAAACCCCAGCAAACACGACGTTGCTGGCAATTCAATGGCCCATTGATTTGATCGAAAGCATACTGCTGGCACTAAAATTCGGTGATGAAAAAGTAGATGTTCATTGCTGTTTCAATCATATATTACGTATGTTGAAATTGCATTGTGTTGGTACAATGGTGTATTTCCCATATATGGATCAGTATAACACCATTTTTAACATCACAGGAATTGAATGAGAATGGACCATCAGCCTGATAGATGCATTGAATTTACAGCATTTTCCCGACAATTGATGGTTTTCACTAGATCTCCCATATTGCGCATAGGTCGTCATTTGCTATTATGGAAATTGAATCGGAAGTCAATGAATCATGGAAGTATTTTATTTTGAAGTTTCACTTCGATTTCGAATATTGATGAGATGCAATTTCGTTCGAATATCAATTCAATATCTCAATTGAAACATTGTGTAACTTTGAATGAGTTGCCAAGTTGATGGTATCAATGAAGTAATACTCCTGATTTCATATAAGGCCGACATAGGTATATCGTGAATATAAAAATAATATTGGTCCGATATGGGAGTACATTGAAAATACAATATTTAAATGATGATATTGATGGAATAGTATTGGTTCCACTTAGTGTAAACGTGAATTGTCAGCTACAATATTTGAGCAATATTGGTTGGAAAATTCGTTAACAATATGTAAAAACCTTGAGAATTCGCCTTCTCTATGTGATGAAAATTCCAATTCTTTCTCGTTTTATTCAACAGGGAAATAACTACTTTCCTGGGTATATGCCACGACGAACATTGAATCAAATCCATTGAACACACATGATAAGAATTTGAGAACTAAATCTTCTGAAATCAAGAATTTGCATTCACCTTCAGATAAAAATATGTATATGCACATAATGTCATTCTGAATGTTCAACAGAAATCAACTACTTTCCTGGCTATTTGCCACGTCGAACATTGAATTCTATCTGTTCAAGATATGTATAGATACTACTTGACTAGTATTATCACTTCCTATCAAAAGGGTTTTGAAATCTCTCGTTATCGCCTACTTTGTACAAATAGCGAGGCGTGGGAGAATCTTGCTAAATAAGCTTCAAACCAAAATTACAGGCACCATAAGACATTCATTCGAGTCTGACTTTTCGTTTTCACAATTTTGTATGTTAATTGGAAACGGTGCGTTATATTTTCGACATTTCAGTGGTGAATCCATGAACGACATGAAGTCCTAGCTCAATAAAATTCTTTGATAATAGTTTATCCACTCAATTTCCACAATGAATATACGTTATGAAGTAACATCATTTTATGTGATGCTTGATATATTTTATGCATGTATATGTATCTGTGACATTGAGCATTTTGTTGAATGAGATCACAGAGTAATAATGTATCATATTATGTTATGTTTTGAATTGACTCGGCCGTTACTTGATGGAAATCCATAGCAATTATCAAAAAAAATTGTGAAATTTTTACATTTAAGTCATGTTTTCATGTTTAGTGGGTGAGCAATACATGATTTTGGAACTAAGGAAACTATCAAAAATACGTACGCTCTTTTTAATAGCACTTGTAGAAAAATTATTATTCCGTGGACTGATTGTTCTGAAAATGTTTCTTATCTTAGTCCAGTAACTTTGTCGCCTGAACATATGGGGGTATGCGTCAAATCCGGTATTTCTGATTTTTTGCAGACTTGTTCATGATGTTGGTCCCATGAATGATCTAAGTTTGTCACCTCGAGCACCGAACGCAACTTCGTCAAAAATCGAAAAAACCCGAGAAGAACGTGATTTTTTTAAATTTTGGCGATTATAACCCTGAAGAACTAGTTTAAAAAAAAAACTCGCAGGACGTTTTCAAAGCAGATCAAATTTGCTACAATATGCTACAGAAGTTGTCTCTGTAGACCCAATAGTTTTCGAAATGAAGCCTTTCAAAGTTTATAGTTTTTTTCGAACAATGTTCTAGGCGTCACTCGAATATACTCTAGCAGGATGAAGTTTCAATTACCTCCGACGGCGTGTGCTAGTACTGTTCTTGAGATCTATGGTTCGAGTGGAGTCACGAATGCGACCCACCTATAGCACGTTTTCAAACTGTCTAGGCAATCTAAACCACGGGACTTTTTAGCTGACAAGATGGCGCCTGGTTGTAGGGTCATCGCATATAATAAGTATTGGTTTTCTCTCACGTACCTGCTACACAGCCTTTGGTTTCTCATGATTGATTTTGTTGTTAGATATTTTTTCTTGAATACTGCTATCCACATTTCTCTTCTCATTCTTGATAAATCTTTCATCTGTGGATAATGCACAGAGTTTTCCACAGAATCACAGTAGGAATGTGAAAATTTGTCCTTGCATCAGTAGGCAATTCACATTACATATTATCTTTCATAATTTTCTATTCTCATGTACAATCTCATAACATGTACAGTTGTGGTTGGGAGTCCTCTCTGAACCCTCTCTCCTGGGGGTGGAAATCCGCGCCACGAGGGGCCTCAATCCCAAAATGATGACCAGAGATGCAGCCGCACAACACCTCTTGCGGATAATTTCTTGTGGCTGCACGAAGGATTGTGGGAACGCGTGCAGCTGCAGAAAGTCAGGATTTAAATGCTCATCAGTCTGCAGGCACTGCAGTTAGGCCTCTTGTGACAATTCACCTGATATTGTAGTAGTAGATTTCCCAGAAGGCGACGATCTGTTCGATGTTGAAGTGGAGGATGACTTGTGGGCAAAAGACATCGACGATTCATCACCATCCCCTGATGGGGATATGCCATTCCGATACGTAGATCTAGACAAACCTCAACCGGGACCTTTCAAGAGGGCTCAATTAAGCTAATTTTTCCATCTTCAATATTTCCTGACAAATAAACTTGTCAAAACTTTTGTTGTACTTAGTTCATTTATTTCATTATTCGTAGCTCAGCTTTAACATCCTTGTTCACACTCCTCATTTTCTTTTTTATCATCTCATTATGACAGTACAGGGCTTCGATTGTATAATCAGGGTCGAAATCCAATCAGAACGACAGGATTGCAAAAAAATTGTGAAGTTCGAAAGAAATTATCAACTTTGATAGGCTCAATCTCGGAAACTAATGAGTCTACAGAGACAGTTTTTATACCATATTGTAGCAAATTTAGTGTACTTTGAAAACGCTCGGGAAGCGTTTTTTTCAAAAACTAGTCCTTAAGGTTATAATCTCCAGAAACTGAAAACAAAAAACGATTTTTTCGCAGTTTTTTCGATTTTTGACAAAGTTGCGTTCGGCGCTCAAGGTCTCAAACTTGAAATATTCATAAGGTCAACATCATGAACAAGTCTGCGAAAAATCAGAACAACCGGATTCGACGCATACTGTGATGTATAAAATTACTGGATTATCTATCATTCGGTTGCCACCTCACGAGCAAGCCTCAGAAGTCTTCAAGAGACTTGTGCGAGCAAAGAATTAGAATGAGGTCCTCGATCTTGGTGAGAATCTAATCCACATATCGGCAATTCAACATGAATAGAACGTTGACGCTTTTACCACGATAATACGCTGGCCACAACTAATCGAAGCGGAAACACGCAAATCACCCACCTCGTAGTCAGACATCAGTCTCGATGCTCATGGCGTTGATGTTGTTGTTGTGGCGCGGGTTGCAGTTCTGCTTCCTGGCCAGCTGGTCGCGCGTCGCCATGAGGCCCTCTTCCAGCTCGGCCAGCTCGCTCGACGACTCGCTCAGCGAGCTCTTCTTCATGTGCTGACCCAATGTGCCGGGCAAGTACGGGCAGCTGGTCACGTGGTTAAAGTTCTGCGACTGCATCTCCTCCTGAGGGTATTAGGATGTGTTATATCGTGTGCGCTAAGATCATGATATAGAGAGTTTAAATCAGGATTCAAATTAACAAACAAATCTGAGAATGTACCACCTCTGAGCGGTGTCGCGTCAATTGGACGTGGAAATGTGGACGCACGACTATTGGTCGCAGTCAATTGGACGCGGCGACAATTGGACGCGGCAACAATTGGACGCGGCGACAATTAGACGCGGCGACAATTAGACACGGCGTCAATTAGACGCGGAGACAATTCGACGCGGCGACAATTGGACGCATGCGTAAATAAAAATAATTTTATAATTCCAATGAAATTCATTGTATAAAATATGAAATACTTATAGGCTTATATCCATAATTATAACAAATACCTATGGCCTCGTTTGACAATTATTTACCTATCTCATATCGTGATATGAATTTACGATACGAATATAGTACAATATTTTAGGTTAGTTAGGTTAGGTTACGTATTTGTTATATCATAGATATGAGCCTTGCATATTCCATGCAATAAATTTCATTGGAATTATAATTTTTTTTTTATTTTCGCATGCGCTCAATTGTCGCCGCGTCCAATTTTCGTCGCGTCCAATTGTCGCCGCGTCCAATTGTCGCCGCGTCCAATTGTCGCCGCGTCCAATTGTCGCTGCGTCCAATTATCCGCGTCCAATTTTTGTGCGTCCAATTGACCACGTCCAATTGTCGGTAATCCCCTCTGAGCAGCAGCCACTTCAAGTTACGTAAACAGAAAATCTGAAATCTGTTCAAGTGGTTGAAGTTTTGCGACTGCATCTCCTCCTGGAGGTACAAGGATGTGTTAGGTTGTGTGCGCTAAGATCATGATGTAGGGAGTATAATGATTCGAGATTCGCTGTCAATATTTTGAGAACGTATCGTTGTAGTTTTTCTTCAGATCAACATATCTGAAAATGTACCACATCTAGCCACTTCAAGTTACGTAAACAAGCAATCTGAAATTTGTTCACGTAGTTGAAGTTCTGCGACTGCATCTCCTCCTGCAGGTATAGGGGCGTGTAATGTGGAATTATTGGTTGTGTGCGCTAAGATCATATATCAATCGTGAATTAATGAATCCATGCAGCTGACAATGGAGAGCAGTATCAACCGTTGAAGATCTACATATGGAACATGCAGGGGGATTCCGATCTTAGTGATTTTTTGAAAAAACAAAGTGTTTTTAACATTTTCTGTTTAAGTGAATGTTGGCTCGCTAATGATCCCCAATCACAGAATATTAGTTTCAGTGGAGAGTGCACTAGATGTAATGATGAGTCCTTCCAAACATCATACCAGATCTCCTTTGGTTGTCCAATTCTGACTTCCATCAAACCATGAATAATAATAATAATAATAATAATAATAATAATAATAATAGTAATAATAATAATAATGAGTAAGTTTATTAACCACTGTGCAATGAAACAATGATAACAAAAATAACTAGATTATCTACAAGAAATATACAAATCTTCAGATTCAAACTCGGTAAACAAACTTCAAAAACCCACAAAGGCGAAACCTTGAATATGGGTATATGGAGCATGAAGCATAGTGTTGAAAAAAGCCAATATAATAGTGAATAAATACAATAAACTTATAATAAGGACCTATAGAAATATTCTACTCGCAGCATGTATGGTTTACATAATGCAATAAATATAAGGCAATATACAGGGTGGCGCAATGGGTATTGACGATTTTGAGAGTGTTATTGTGGTTGTACTAATGAAACAATCAAGGTCAAAATCATTTATTTTTATGACACATATAATGCAGTTTTACAACAAAAATTATTTTTTGAAAATAAAATCTTTTAAATGACCACCACGTTTTTCTAAACATTGTTGAAGCCGTGATTGAAAATTATCTGTAACTCGTAGCATTTCCTGGTTTATCGCTGTGATTTCTTTAGTAATGTTGTCTTTTAAAACTGGTAAATTTCGAGGCCTATTGTTGAAAAGTACACTCTATCGCTTGCTAGTGCATAAAGAAAATTATCGATACTGAGCTGACAAACAACCTCAACAAATTCACGAACCTGTGCATTCCGAAAAAGTCACCGTATGGTGCGGTGTGGCTGCATTCGGAATACTAGGCCCGTACTTTTTCAAAGAAAATGGCTGTACAATTACCGTAACTTCTCAACGGTATTTGGAGATGGTTACAATTTTTTTACCTGCTAAATTGCAACGCCTGGGGGTAGAAAATATCGATTTATGGTTCCAGCAAGATGGAGCAACAAGCCATACTGCGCGAATTTGCATGGCTCATCTAAGAAACATGTTTCCTGGACGACTTGTATCCCGACATGGTGATTTTAATTGGTCACCAGATTTGACCAGCCATGATTTTATCAACACAAGTTTTAAAAGACAACATTTCTGAAGAAATCAGAGCGATAATCCAGGAAATGCTACGAGTTACAGATAATTTTCAATCACGGCTTCAATAATGTTTAGACAAACGTGGTGGTCATTTAAAAGATGTTATTTTCAAAAAATAATTTTTGTTGTAAAACTGCATTATATGTGTCATAAAAATATATGATTTTGACCTTGATTGTTTCATTAGTACAACCACAATAACACTCTTAAAATCGTCAATACCCATTGCGCCACCCTGTATATGTATGTGTATATAAATATTCATAAATGATATCAATAACAAAGTATGTGTTTTTGCAAATATAACTCAATATCACAAGAGTAAGGGAATATATACTGTCAAATAGTGCTGTCATAAGTTGTTCTTTCTGTTGATTAATTGATGAATTCTTGCTCTTGGTGTATTTAGAATCCATTCTTTAAGATTTTTTTTGAATGATCTAGTGAAGTTATTCTCCCTCAAGTAAAACGGACTCTCAGCATAGAGGACAGGACAAAGATAAGTAAAACATCCTTGAGAGACCGTTTTTCTGGTTTTGGGAATAAGTGTTGATTTTGATTTATACCGGGTATTATGTCTATAAAAAATTTTTTGAGCCTCATGTTTGAATTTGTGATGTCTTATCATTAAGGACTGAAAGTAAAGTTGTCTAATATCTAAGACTTGCGCTTCTTCAAAAAGTCGTTTGCTAGGGTGCCTATATGGTTTTTTGAAAATTATTTTCAGCAGCCATTTTTGGGTGACTTCCAATTTCTTTAGATGATTATTTTTTATTCCTCCTCACGTGAGTATACCATAAGTGATGTGTGTTTGTACTAGAGAGGAATATAGTATTTTCAGAAATCCCAAATCAAATATTATTCTGTGAAATCTGAATCTGTGTCCTCTAAGCTTTTTTGTCACGAATGCAGAATGATGATCCCATCTCAGATGACAATCAATGATTATACCCAGATATTTAGTTTTATTTTCCATCGATATAGCAATTGTTTTGTTATGAGAAATGATGAAATGTAATCTCTCAAATTCAGGCATCGTATTCACTGTGCTACAAAAGGGAACTATTACTGCAACGCATCGATCTTGCATGACTCCAACCTCCTTTCCCTGATGAGGGGTAAGGAAACATTTTCTAGAACCCTGATGAGGAGAAGGAAACATTTTCTAGAAATTTGTTCAGTTGCTATAGCGACGATACAAAATACAGAAATCGCCATTGAAAAACTCACCTGATCTGTCTCACGGTGATAGAAGTAATTGAAGTTTGACACTATAACAGGGACAGGCAGCGCAATCGTCAGAACGCCAGCAATCGCACACAGTGAGCCAACGATCTTGCCCCACACACCGACGGGCCTACAAGAAGAAGAGAGTTGATTATCCTGCAGAGTTCTTACCCATCAGTCGTCCAGCTGAATTTTCAGAAAGAAAAAAACTAGGGAGCACAGGTGATCATCACATCTACAACCATTGATACATATACCCACTAGTAAGACTCTACAAGATTAGTAGTCTCTTGAGACTATACAGGGTGGTCCTTTGAAAACAAAACAGAGGATCTGTAGGTCACCAGAACCACAAAATGCGAAACATTTGAAACACATCAACTACTTTTTTGAGATGGACATCGTTCTAAAATGTTTTCAGCCCTCTGGCGTTCTCGCTTCTAACGAAAAAAAAGCAGAAACTTCGTTATTTCAAATGGAATATCTTGTATCTCATAGCATCTTTAGATTCTCTTCGGGAAGCTGATTTCATCAATGCATCACACTCAGGGTCTAGCTGAAATTATTTCAGGGATATAGGGTTTTCTAAATCAAGATTTTTCAATTCTAGCATTTTTTTGTGTCAAAACTATTCATTATTGATGAAAACGGCTCTTATGTCCCTATATTCCCACTTTCAATTTACTATCCACTGACGTTTAATCGGAACAGATACAGGGTATTCAGAATTTTGAATCTTGAGCCACCCTGTATATGTTTCGATGAAATGTCAGTAGATAGTGAATCGAAAGTTGAGATAGGGTCAAATAAGCCACTTTGACTAATGATGAATAGTTTCGACCCAAAGAATCCTAAGATTGAAAAATATCTATTTTGAACACCCTATATCTCTGTCATCATTGCCGCTTGATCACAAGTGTGATGCATCGATGAAATTAGCTCTTCGGGAAGAATCTGAAAATGCAATGAAATAAAAGGTGTTCCATTTGAAATAACAAAGTTGTTGCTACTTTTCTCTATAGAAGCAGCAACGCCGCAGGGCTCAAAATATTTCAGAACGATGTTTCTCTGGAAATTGTAGTTGAAGTGTTTCAGAGTTTTTCCATACAATGAAATTGGTAATCAAAATTGACACTGACATTGGGTGAGAATGAAATGATGAATATTACAGTTTAATAACAATTGAAGGACAAATTACATGTTTTCACGACAGGAAAAGTAGATTGACTGCCTTTTGGCTGAATTCCTAGCTTCGCTACGCTCGGCTATGAGCCTAGGCAGTCAATCTACTATTCTCCTGCCTAGTACAACAAACAAATATTCTCCTGATTATCTCTACCAAAACAACCCCAACTCAGCGGAATCAACAGTTATAGTTTCAAAAATAAACTCGAATTCATATTTTGCTTTTTGTTGGTAGAAGTAGGCTGCTGTGCAGCTACTTGTCACCTTTTTTTTCCTCTGCAGTCTTGAAGTTTACATACACCACTCTCCTTTTTACCTGAATACGCACAAAACCGTGGATCAAGTAACTCTGTGAACACCACTAAGTCAACCAGAAATATCAGTGCTCCAAAAGTTTTTCATATTGTTGAGGTTTGGTTGTTGAGTAGTTCGTGTGCCTTTTACTTTATTACTCTTATCAAAATCATGAAGTTTATAGAATCCAGCTGGGCACCTGATCAGATGGAAGTAAGCGACATGAAACCATCGAGCGAAAAACAATGAAAAATCAGGTCCATTGTTGATCTGATACGGAAAGGGGTCGTTTTTAACAGGATGTCATGCAGGCATTGAAGCATTTTGCAACAAATGGTAGCAGGAATAGCATGCAGCTCAGTTTCACAGCCCTCTAAGGCATTCAAGACATAGCCTACAAAAACTTCGAAGAAGAAGAAGCGCTCAGTGAATAATTGAAGTATCAAAATCGAAGGGAATATCAATAACCTGCCATGGTTATCGCAAATTCACCGAAAACTTTGTTGAATAACTGTCAGTTCTCCATAATGGCCATGACACGAAGGAACATATAGTTATGTTTCCTTGCTATCGATTTTTGAGCTCAAATTGTGATACTTACCAATAATTGAATATCCCATTTTGCATCAATGGCAAGCTTCCATTATATACATTCATTGCTACATCCATCTATAGATATACTGGGTTCAACTTCGAATAAAAATGCAATTTCTCCATTTGAAGATCATTCATGCAACGACACTGATCGTTATTTGATCCACACATGAATGTTGCAATTTTCTGTACCTCTGAAATCTTGTAAATATCTTGATTGTGGGATATTTCAATTCAGAACATTGAAAAGTTCAGGTATAAATACGTCACTGTATTCCAACTTCTTTACACCTGCAAGTAGGCTCCCTCACATACAAATATTGATTTTGCGATTCTATTGATTGCAAATTCGATCTACAACTTCCGAATAACTGATTTCCAGTTCATTCCCAATTCTGTGAATCAATATAATATTGATAATTGCATCCCTTCTGAATCAGATTTTAAGCTGTGCAATTTTTAAAAATCTCAAAAGTCTTTCCTTTGGGAACATATTCTTCAAATTCTTTCTGAGGTGTCAAATATATTATACTATCTGTTTTCTCGAAGCTTTTTCGGAATTTTTGGAATTGTCAGACTAATTACTGAAATATGAACAATTTTACAAGAAAATGCATAATTTGAATCTCTAATTCCAATGGGCTGTGTGTTTTTGTCATTATTGTTTGGTGGTGGTCAAAAATATTGATATGACATGATCGACATAATCATTGACACAGACTGGTTTCAAGAAAATAAGTATGCCAATAACGTTTGATTCGAAATCACAAGGTCGCAGAGCCAATATAAATAATTACTCAATCATGCATAAAGTTGAAGAAACATATCGATATCATTTGATACCAAGAAAAACTTGAAAAATGTTGCCTTCAGAAGGGAAGCCTTTAACATTTTCGTAAAGTTGTACATCCTGTAGAACCTCATTCTGAAGATATGCAAAAACCCCCAAAAAAACATTTCCAAGATTTCGATTCAGTTGATTCGAGCAACATTTCTGCAATGATTACAGCCTGATTGCAGAGATCGATTGTGCAATCATTTCTCTATTTTTACGAGGATTGTTTTTGAATAGGGCTTACTTCAGGATTTCATACCTGACTACTTGCAACTTTCATTTTGCACTAGAGCTTGGAATGCAGACCAATATTGCAATTATAGCATTATTGCAGCAACATCATGCACATTTTCAGCCTGAATATAATATCATGTATCATGCATCTCTTCAATTATAGGAGAATGAATCTTGTTGCGAAAATAGTTTCTTGTTAAATAAGGCATTTTCTTACAATGAGAGGTTAATTGACAGATTAATAATGTTGCAATTAGATCAATCATCAAATCTCTGGAAGATCTTGCGATTTGAACTTGAACGTGAAATAAAATACACTACACTGTTTTACCTCTTACCAAAACGATTTTTTAACGCCTCGACACGTGTTTCGCTAACTATGTTAGCATCTTCAGGAGAAGATTAAACAGTTTTAATCTCCTTCTGAAGATGCTAACATAGTTAGCGAAACACGTGTCGAGGCGTTAAAAATAGTTTTGGTGAGTGGTAAAACAGTGTAGTGCATTATCGTGCCAAAGGTTCCAGTCTTCGATATATGTGAAATAAAATGATGGTTATCATGGTTAATGATATGGCCATCTTACAGGGTATAATTTCATAAGTTAACGCGATCTATATATGGAAAAATAAGGACTAAGGAGTTCTGATAATTCATATGGGCGATGAAGGAAACATGGAGAATGAAACTAATATATTCTCCTTTTTGTGAAGCTTTCAGTTTCTCCGGAAGTGATGTCATCTATGATATTTCCGATGGAACACCCTATATTTCTCATGATTCTTGAATTACTCTTATGATTTCGATTCAAATGCATACCCTGGAGATACCTGAAATGAACCGATTTTGAGTTTATCGCGTTTTCCTTGAAAAAATGACAGTTGTGGATTGGAATTTTTTGGTAATATACAGTTGTATACAGTGATTGAATCGTGAATATTGAAGGATATTCAACCATGATCACCAACACTGGATAATTCACAGGATGCACAGAAAAGTGTGTTCAAGAAGTGATTGTGAAACATTCAAAATCTCAACATTTTCAATTTCAATTTTTTATTTTCATAATTCAAATTTTTGATCAAAATAAGCCCCAATTCTGATTCACTACCTCAAACTCGAAAGCACTTTTATTACATTTGCCTTTTGAATATCGCGTTCTTTTTATTATCGTTTAGTTGGTTAATGCTTCTTTTTCACAGCATAGTCTGTTCCATGTTAGTGCTGAACTAGGCTGAAATATTCCCACCAAATTTGTGGTATTCTGATTGGTGGTTGCTGGCATTCTAACAGGACTCTGATTTTTGTAGGTTAGGTTTGGGAGAAAGCAATAACCTCTATATGACGAGCAAATGGTCGATTCTATTCTGTAAGGAATCGATAAAAATGATCTAAGATTTGTAATGTATGGTTAAAAAAGTAACAGTAGTGCCCGAAAGTGGTTTTATTGATTAATCGTGACATCACATGAAAAATTTTCAGTCTATGAAACACAAAATCGTGACAATACCTAGATCAAAGAAAAAATTTGGTTCCTATTGAATTGAGGAGGTTGGGCTTTTTGATGTTCCACGATCACTTTTTGGTCTTACTTTCCTGCGCACCTTGTGAATTATTCATGATGGTGATTATGGTCAGTTTTTCGTTCAACCTTCAATATTAAAGATTGATATATCATCAAAAATTCCAATTCTCATGAAAATGGCGTGTTCGATGCATTTGTCACTTTTTCCAAAAAAATTCGAACAATTCAAAAACGGTTCATTTGATATGATCATGAATTCGAATCAAAATCATGGGAGAAATACAAAGATCATGTGGAATACAATGTGTTCCTTCGAAAACATCATAGGTGACGTCTTCTCCTGTGAAACCGGAAGCTACACGGTTACGATGATTAACTACTACGCAGCACTAATTTTGTCGCGCTCCAAAATTTTGCCCCTGTTGAAATAATTTTTCTGCTTTAAACAACCTGAATAAGGATCACAGTGTATTCCTTCAAAACATGAGGTTCCTCATATAAAATCGCTACAGAGTATCATCTGGAATTTTCAAAAAGGATCCCAAATGAACAAAAACTTTTCATTCAACTTTGATAGCACAGGCCTAGGAATGATCTCATTACCTTGGAACATTTTTTCAATCGTCTTCTTACCTTTCATACCTACAGAGTGATCTCAAAAAATTAACTCTCTGGATATGCAGTAGTATCACTTTTCCTTGACTTCCGATTTTTGAAATCTTGGGCTCATTTTGAAGCTGTTACTCCAGATGAGGTGATATGGAGATCAGAATTGAAGATGAGCATCATACGACAGTTTCGTGTTTCACTTCTTTGGGGAGCACCCTTTTATCTTCCGTGATTGTTCAGTTAGGATTTTGAAATCTGCAAGAGTGGCAGGTATATACTGGAAATACACACTATTACCAAGTGGAGTTATCTCCATTGATATACACTGCTTGCCAACAGCCATGAAACCACCCACTAAAATGATATTAGGTGGCAAGATATGATGAAAATCACTTCAGATTCAATATCAGGAACGAAAATATTACTAATTCATTCAAATATTTTCTGGAAAATTTTTGGTTCTGAAAAATTAGGTTTTATCTCACTTCTCATAGATGCACCCCCGCCTCTAACATAATTGACTTCATCTTTGGATTTTCCCTTTCTCGTGCAAATTTCAGAACCGGAGTGAGTTTCAACCAATCTTGGCTTCTTTTATCATTTTCCAGAAATGTGGGTGGTCCCGAGGCTGATGGGAGCAGTAAATATCACTGCAGATAACTCCACTTGGTCATAGTATGTATTTCTAGGAAATCTTCTGCTTCTACAGTGTTTTTATACCAGGAGAAGATTCCTGTTTTCGTGGGGATTTTGTGAATTTCGAAGGAAGAAGGGATTCTTCTAGAAAAGGCCGTTTGGGAGGATGATTTTGATGATATCGCCAGAATCTGAATACTGAGAAAACAACGATAGTTGAAGATCCAAAAGTCATGATTTTGTGACCTGAACACAAAATACATAACACGTAATAATATAATGTATATTGTTTTGTGATTTGACTGTTGGTTAATACTCAGGAGGTTAACTGGAAATATTCATGTTATATATTATACTGTCTGAAGGTTACTCAAGGCAGTAGAATATTCATTTCTATAAATCTCCTCATTTCTTTGAATCATTGAAATATTAATAATATTTCAATAAGGAAAAGTCAGATGATTTTCCATAGATTTGCTGCAGGATGTCACTGCTTGACCATAGAAACTAGAGGAATTGTGAGAAAAAATCTGAGTATGAACAGTGGAAATTCTCAGTCATTGCACAGGGGAAATTTCGTGTAGACCATATGACAACACTGTTCCTACGAATTTAGGAATACTATCTCAACAATTACGGAAGATACCAGGGAGCTTTCATTAGAATGAGTGAGACACACTGTATAGTGTGGCCAGTTTTCGATGCTTTTTCACGATATCTCAGTTATCTTTGGAGGTATAAGGTTGCGGTTTTCACATTACAGACTTACTTTTTTTGTGAAACTAGCAATCCACAATCAGAATTTTCACAATCCTTCTGTAGAATGTTTATGTTGTGTTGATTCTGATCTCCATTTCTTTTCACCTGAGGTTCATGCTCCACAATGATCCTGAAAGTTATGACTGCAGACCAAGAAAGTATTTTTTTCCAGACCACTCTGTGAATAAGAGAGATAAGGAGATAATTCAGAAAATGTCAAGGTAATGAGATTACCTTCATGCCTCTGCTGTCAAAAATGAAAGAAAAAGTTTTTGATCATTTGGGATCCTTTTGACAATTCCAAAATTCCGCACAGATTCAGGTGACAACCTATAGCGATTTTATATGATGAGCTGCTGAGGGACTGGGCTAGCGAACAGTGTGATCCAAATTCAGATTTTCCGAAGCAGAAAGATGTTATTCATATTTCAACAGGGACAATATTTTGGGGTGTTAGGAAATTAGTGTTGTGTAGTTTCAGTTGGATTCTCCATCATGTTTCTTTCACCACCTCTACGGATTTTCAGAATGGTGCTACATCTATTTCTCCATATACATATAGATCGCGTCAACTAATGGATATATACCCACCCTGTATTTTCTGAACATCCAACTGGCATATTCCTCAATCTCCGAAATTCTCATGCAAATAGAAAAAATAAAATTGCTCCACGAAATCAACTACTGGTAATCACAGTGTAGTGTGTTGTGTCACAGTGATGTATAGTATTTTTGAAAAATGAATGAAGTTCCTGATTCCAATGAATAAACTGTTATAATCATCTGCTGAAGTTTATTTTGAACGTTAGTTTTTGAGCTTCTTTCAAAATGATGTTGTTGATATCGTACCTCTAGCAAAGTAGATAGGAATGAGTATGAAATCGAATATCTTTTTTTCTCATAATTGTAAAGTCATTAGTCTGGCTTGTATATTTGCGGGGTTTGTTGAAACATCGCAAAAAATTCCAGTTGCTTATTCCTCAGAGTGACTTTAACAGGGTGATTGATGATGAACTGTACATACTCCTACCACGAATTGACTCTCCTGAGGGGAGTACCTGATGACCATCAAAAATTGTCCTCTCCTCTTCTTCAATAATATATGGGGATGAATGAACGGATTTGGCAAAAACATCTCATAGTCATAAATTGTCGATAGCTTCTCCGATTTGTCTGAGATTCTCATGAAATATTTGGATACAACTCTCGCTGACCGACTGATTCATTCAGAATCGTGAAATCCAGAACCGTCCTCGCCAAAATTCACAAGTTCAATTTGAAGTTTATATGGTTCCTTTGAACTGTGAAAGGAAATGGAATATTCTGAATTCTCCTCCCACTTTCGATGAATCTGATGAGAAACAATGAATTCTTGAAAAAAAAACGAAAGTTTGGCAAACAATTCCAGGCCTGGCCAATTTTTGTCAGGGGTCATAATCTTATTAGGTGATTTCCGGAACAGTGGATATAGGATATCTATGGATGGTGATTGCCATCGATTCAAATGATTTTATGATTC